ACTGAGCATCCGCTTTCGATAGGTGAAGGTAAAACCACAAAAGCGGACGTAAGAGGTCATTAATCAAATTAAAAACCTGTTATGGTTTATAATTCGTGAAGCGCATTTTACCTGCTAACATTTGAGTCTGATAAAGAACTGTTTCTTTGATAATTCATTTACTTTTCTTCAACTTCAAGTTCATTCTGGCCAGAAAGAAAAAATCACCATGCCACAGCCCTTCTTAACAGAGTAAAAAAGACTGCAACTAAGCTGAAACTTAGTGCTGAGGCACTGCAGCAAGAGCTGGGCAAGTCCCTCAGACAGGGAGATGGTGTCATGAAGAGAAGGAAAAAGAGAGAGAAGATGGGTTCTGTCTCAAAGCATTTTCCATATCTGTGCAATGGAAAAATAATCAGATAACAAAGCAGAAATGCAGTAAAAGCTCTGCAATTTGCACATAGCAACTCTTTCTTTTGAGGGATTATCACACCTGTAAGCATGGGGAACATACCCAGGCTGGAAGCCATGCTGTGTTTGTGCCAGGAGGGGACAAGGAGGTGTCACAGCAATTCTGACATTTAGAGGGGAAGTAGCCAGGATTTAGAAACGGAACCAGAAGCCCAAGGGACACAGACCAAGGGGGTGGTTTCAAAGAGTGAAAGTACAGTGCCTTTCAGAAATCACACCACCAGCACTGTCCTGTGCCCTGGGCAGACAGAAGCAGGATTTGGGGCTGGCATCCCAAGCCAGGAGGGGCTGAATGTGCAGAAAGGATCCTGGGGGTCTGAGCCTCTCACAGCTGTGGGAAGAGCCAGTGGGTACCTTGGAGGCACCCGGCCTGTGGGGACAGAGCAGCACCTCTTGTCTTCTGGCTGTAAGGGGTGGGTGCTCACACCAACACCTGCATGACCAGGAGCAGGGAAACCAAACCACTGAGAGCAGTAAAAACCGTCTCTGTCCCAGGTGTAAAATAGTGTTTGCAGCAGACTCTTAGAAAGCATCAACTGTAGCAAATGGCTTAATTTGCCAGCGGGGCACTGTTGTTCGGCGTTGGGCTACTGGTACCATTCCCCTTGTCTCAAGACTTCCAGTCTTACATGGACATTAGCAACCAAACTCTTCAGTGGCATCTGGGAAAGCCCAGCAGCTCCGACCTCGCATGGTTACACTGAGCTCAGCCAAATCTGGTTGTGAAAAAAACACAGAATCAAACAAAATTCTTCTGCTGTGGTGAGGAAGAAAACCGCAGCAAGTCTGTGCCCTGACTACTGTCCCACACCAAGGGATTCTGCCGGCCTGATCCCACTCACTACAGCTCGCTTTACTGGTATACAGAGCACAGAGAGCTCGAGATCTCAACCCCTGAAAACTTCACTTTCATAAAAGCAGCCAAACTAATCAGCAGCTGGTCTGGAAACCACACAGGGAAGATGAAAAAGAATCCCATCATAAATTAAAGGCAGAGGAAAGGCAGCCGAATCCACCAGGGAAAGGGCTAAGGACCTCACAGAGCATCCCGTACAGCCCCAGAACAGTGACCTAATTAAAGAAGCAGCTGGAAAGCACATCATCATCCTAGGGAAAAGATGAAGAAATGTCTTTTGAGAGAGACCCAGAAACAGTGCAGGGGATCCCCTGAGCCACCTGTGTTGTGCCCAAGTGTGTCAGTGGCTTGGATGCAGCCTTCCTAATGCAAACGGTGCCAGGATCAAGCTATGAGAAGAAACCTTCCTGCAGCAAGCACAGAAAAACCTTCCCGTATCTTGAGTAAAAAAGCCTGAATCTGCCCCCAAATCCCAACCCTTTCCATGTGGAGGACTTTGGTACAGGTGGGTGCCCACCATCCTGCACACTCAGAGCTGGAGCCAGGGGAGCCGCGTGGCCACCTGGGGCTGTGACCAGCAAAGGCAAATTCCCCTCTGTTTGGTTAAGACAATTTTAGTTTACTTTTATATATATATACACTTCTTTTTAGCAGTTGCGTGTGCACAATTAACTGCAATCTTGGCTTTAAGAAAAATAATAAAGCGCCCTAATTAGCATGTTAAGCCTTCTCATTTCCCAGTACTGTATAATGTTGTGAAAGCTAATTTATAATGTATTGGATGTTATGCAAATTCTCTGTGTTCCGTAAGGGGTTTATAAAGGCATGCAAATTAAAAATAGTGTTTGGAATGGGACTGGGGGGAGGGGGAAATTTGCACAGTATAATATGCAGAGGAGCGAGAAAGGTGTTTATAAGCCTCTCCCCATTGTTTGTGTATTCTCAGCCGCACGATGCTTTTCAGAGCAGGGAGATGCACTGCATAAAATCCCTCCAAACCGGATCGTTTTAAAATGAAATGTGGAATGAAAGAGCCGTCCTCCAGGCTGTGAGCCACCCGCTCGCTGCTTGCAGCACGAGGTGATGCAGCCTGCGGTTGCTGGGACCGGCGGTCCCCGCACAGCGGCGCGGTGTCAGCGAGGATGAAAGCTCACAGCCCGGTGTGGGCACACGATCCCAGCCTTCCCTCAGCCACAAAGGTGTTTGGAGCGGGGCTGCTGGGCTTGCTGGGCTTGCTGTCTGTTAGTGCCACTGAGGTGCCGTGGACCGGGCCCTCCAGCGCCACAGAGCTGCTGCCAGTGCTGGGCTGGGCAACGGGGCGATTGGGCTCGCTTTGTTTCTCCTACCCTCATTTAACAGTGAGTGCCGATTACTCAAAGCGATATGGGCAGGACCTGGTAATATAGCGTTGCTGTAGCGTTAACTTAAGGGGATGATCCAGTTGCCTGCAGTGTAAATACTTTGTGGCCAGGAACCCTGCTTTATCGCTTTGTATAGTTTTAAAGTAGTTTAAAGCTTGAATAACATAAAATAACATAATATAATGTTATTTATGTTATTTCCCACGTGAAGAACTCCTGTAAACCTTGCAGTATTGAAACTCAGTGAACAAGGCATCTTAGACAAGCTGAAAAACAAATGGTGGTACGATAAGGGTGAATGTGGAGCCAAGGACTCCGGAAGTAAGGTCAGTCGCTGAAGGTCTTTTCGTACTGATTAGCAATCACATTTTGACCCACTGTTTGTGTATACAGAGAATGACTTTCAAAAGTTGCTATTTGCATTTCGAAGGTTGAAAGAAAAGAATAGAAAACAATTGTTAAGTCTCCGAAAATGACCGCAGTTTTTCTTACATGCAGTAACAGACTTTAGTTGTAAGTATGTTTTGCTGTTTAGTAATTTGCTGCACAGACATGGAAGGAGAATCCCCCAGAGCGCTCGGAGCTGCCTCCCTCATTTGAATTTGCAAGTTTCCTCTCAGTCAGGGTGTTTTATTCAGGCCAGCATCTTTTTCCTTATTATTATTTTCAGTTTGATTGAACGCCTACAATTTGTTTCAAAATTGTAACATAGATCCTATAGAGCTCAGTCTGCAAAACAGTCACGTGCTTGCAAAGGGTAGACGAGTTCAGGACAGAGCCCTGGTGAGGAAGAAGCTCCTTTCCTGCCCTATTTTCCTCTTCAGTTCAAAATGTGTTTAGCTGAATTTTGGAGCTGTTTTTTGGCGACTCTGTCTGTCGTTCCCTTTCCACCTGGACCCGTTTTGCTGCTGCACAGCCGCTGCCAGCTGTGTGCCCAGTCCCACAGGGATGCCATGTGGGCAGGTCCGGCTGCATCAGCCGTGCTGGGTTTGCAGCAAACACTCATTTGAGCCATTCAGTTTAAGCTATATTAGGATTTCATTGTTGTTTTTTTTTCTTTAATGCCTATATAGCCACTGAGGATAACAACACCGGGGTGAAGGAGGCTTTCAAAGGCACCTCTAGGAGTTGTCCTGCTGACATCAGCACAGCTCCCTCGTGCCCTTGGAAACGTTCACTGTAACTGTTCCCCCCAAAAATGCTCCCAATTTGGAGGCCCCTCCCCACGTCAGGCTTCATTCAGCATTCCAAACGAGCCAGCAAGCTGCTGCCCGGCTTTCAGCTGGGCTGGGGGCTGCTTGGGGTACAGTCCTGGATCTGCTCTGGGAGATGAAGGGAATCTGAGCAGAGTCCCTGCAGCAATTGGCAAGAGGCAGAAATGAGCAATATTTCAGATCTCAGCGCAGGCTGTTTGCTAAAATGCATCTATCTATCTGAACTGCCTATTTAGATACAAGACAGACGCATACAAAGTGCATCCTCCTTTATTCTGAGTACATGGAAGGTTGGATACCCCTGGAGATAGCCACACACTGTCTGGGAACACCTGGGCTTACTTTGCCTTTCAGCTCAGGCATGAACCAGCAGCATCTCCCATGTGCAGCAGCAAAAGGGTTGTATTCTTGCTTAATCTCAGTACAAAATCCTGGTTTTTAAAATGAAAGCCTTCTCCTCGCCCCTTTGTTTGCCATGTCCTGAAGGGATGCAAATCCCAGGCAGCATATTTTGCACTGCAGTAATGTTTTCTGCTCCCTGCAGGTGCTGTCTTAGCTTAGGGCTCTCCTGACCTTAGCCCAGCTGACCATCTTCCTAGGGTTGTTTTTTTTTTTTATAAACTGTTGGGAAAAAAAGGTAGAAAAGTTCAGCAGTGTGTATCTCTCTAGTTATATCTACATTCACCAAAGCCAGGCATCTAGTGGCTTGGGTTTTTCTGTTTACTTCCATAATGCGAGAACCTGCTACTTTAAGTAGCCCTGGGCTGTCCACTAGAGCTTCCCAAAGGTGCCCTGGCCTCCAGCTTTGCCCTGGGGCAGTGAAGGCCTGGGGAAGCCAATGGCAAAAAATCCTATTGACTTCCACATGGCCGAGGTTTTGCTTGGCAACAGAGCAGCTCCTGCTGCCATCCCTGTCCTGCGGGGCCAGCGGCACCAGTAGGGTCACGCAGCGTGACCACAGCGGGTAAGGCTGTTGGGTTGTGTGGGGATGGGGGGGATTTGGGCTTGATTGGAAAGTTTGTAGCCTGTGTGTCATTGTTGGGACTGAGTGCAAAGTAGCCTGCTTTCTGTCTGCCTCTTTCTCACAGCAAAACTAACGGTGTGGTTCGTTTCTCTTAGGACAAGACCAGTGCTCTGAGCCTGAGCAATGTGGCCGGGGTTTTCTATATTCTTGTCGGAGGCCTTGGGCTCGCCATGATGGTGGCTTTAATTGAGTTTTGTTACAAGTCTCGGGCAGAGTCCAAGCGAATGAAACTCACCAAGAACACCCAAAACTTTAAGCCTGCTCCCACCACCAATACCCAGAATTACGCTACGTACAGAGAAGGCTACAATGTGTATGGCACAGAAAGCGTGAAAATCTAGGGGTACGAGTAAGGTCCAGTCAACTAGAAATCCTCTTCCTTAACTTCTGTGTGTTCTTCTAACTTCTGTGGGGATTTAAGTGAGCCTTTCCCTGCACAGGAGCAGGCTGCTCTGGGGGCTCCGGGCTGCAGCAAGGATCCATCTCCCCAGCAATCTGTGGCTCGCTCAGCCCACGTCTTTTGTTAAGAAACAGCTGCATGGGCAGCCAGGGAGAAGCGTCCCGGGGGTGGGAAATGCCCCAGGCACCCAGTGCTGCTGTGCTGCCTGCAGGGAAGCAGGACAGGGGCTTCCCCGCTCTGTCAGAGCTCCACGCTGCCTCCTTCCCCGTGCAGGTTGGTTCCTTGCTGTCTCATGAGGTCTTCTCAGAGGAGACAAATGAAGTCTTGTTTTTGTTGCAGATCCTCGCTCTGACAGCGTGCAGGAGGAGAAGCAGCAGAGAATGTGGCTACTTCATGGATTCGGACCACCTGAGCCAGTCGCACTCTAGCCGAGGTGTCAGGTATGACACGCATTGATGATGGTGCAATGAACTTTTAATAGGAAAAACTGATTTTTTTCCTTCAGTGCCTTATGGAAGACTCTGAGACTCACAACAATGCAAAACCATCACTGAAATATTCTTGCTTTGCTTGAAAAAAGAAAAAGGAAAAAGAAAAGGAAAGAGAAGAAAAGAAAGGAAGAAAAGAAAGGAAGAGAAAAAGGAAGAGGAAAAGGAAGAGGAAGAGGAAGAGGAAGAGGAAGAGGAAAGGAAAGGAAAGGAAAGGAAAGGAAAAAAAAAAAGAAAAAGAAAAGAGAGGAAAAGACAAAAGAGGAAAAGGAAATGAAAGAAAGTGAAGAAAAAGCAAAGGAAAGGACTGCTAACAAGATCTTAGTATTGAGGAAAAAAAAATCTTGTAAAAAAATCAGTGCAACAAAAGCCATTCTTTGATACCACTGCACAGAAACTGAACTCGAGTCCCGAGCGCGCGGCCGCGGTGCGGTGCTGGCAGCTGTGGGCACGCGGCTCCGGCAGCATCGCACCCAGCCTGGCCCCAGCACAGCCGCCCGGGACCCGGCGCCCGTGGTTCTGAGCCGCTCTCAGCTGTCGGAGCTCTTCTGTATATCAGCGAAGAACACCTGAAGAAAAGAAAATGTGCATTAAATACAGCTAAGGTCACTGACTGTGAATCTGTAAATCCAAGAGAAAGCAATCTGTGGAACTGCATGTCCTGCTTCCAGACCAGTAAATTCATTTCCTTGACAAGGTAGCTAAGTGCAGGCAGAAATATTGTATTCCTTTGTTTTTCTATCATCGGGCATACCTACAGGTGCTTTATTAAAACAATATTGGGTGGCTTTAAACAAAACAACAAGCGACGTGCTGTTTAGGTTCAGACCATATATCTCTTTTCTTGCTGTGCATCTGCATTTTAATTCAGTGTTGAATATCGAGCAACGAAGCAAGAGAAGCGCAGGTTAGTTTTTCCCAGGCCCGCTTCTGCCTCGCACCGGGTTCCTCCCAGCTCGCAGTGTGCTCAGCTAAATGCTTCTCGGCAGCAGTTTCAAACCGGAGCAGGGAACAGCCCCCGAGCAGCCCCGCCGTGCTGGGAGATGCACAGCCCTGCCCCAGCAACCCGCAGCCTCCGCCTGGGAACCGCGCAGCGCCATCTGCAAACGAAGCAACGACGACAACAAAAGGTTAAAAATAATTTTAAAAAAATTAAGAACAAAAAGGTGAAACATGTTGTCAGTCACGCCGGAAGCGTGCGGTGAGATATCTGCGTACTAATTACCTCTAATACGACAAGGCGTTTTTTCTGTAGTTTACTATAGAATTTTGTTTTGTCAGTAACATACGGCGCAATGAAGCTCATTTAAACCCGTCTGACCCGTAGGCGTTTAGTTTGCTGATGATAGATTCGAACTTTTAATAGGATTTAAACAACAACAAACACAAAGAAAAGGACTGTATGGGCAAAGTCTCGCTAAAAATACGTATTTCCAACCAAATGTAATATAACGACCATTTTAAAGGCTCATAGAATAATTTATCGTTCCAGTTTTTAACAGGCGATTAAACAACAAAGTTGTGGTTTTGGTTTGGGTTCTTTTTGTCATGAAACTGAGTTTTTTCACCTTCTGATCACGATCCGCTCCGGGTGAGGGCGGGCTGGAGCGGTGCGGTCCTCCGTTGGGTTCAAACCACAAGTTTTTCTTAAAAGCTGTATAAAAATGTATGTTTATCAAATCCATTTTTACCGAGTGGAGGCTTCACACCAGTGAAGGGAGTTTGGGAAACAGTTCGACATTTTTTAAACTTGCATGTAAAGCTAAAACAAAACGTGGTGATTGCTTACAAACCCCAGCTACCAGCTCCAAGCTATGGGAAGTTCGGCGGTAGTCTCACGACGATGTTCTGGTTTATTCTTTTCCTTTGTGTTGCTTTGGGGTCTCTTGGATTCTTTCCTTTTCGTTGTCTTCTGGTATTTTTTTCTGTTTTCTCTCTCTCTCTTTTTTTTTTTTTTTTAAGTTTGTAATTTAAGTTCCTATTTTTGGTCATTGAAACTGCACTTCAGTGAGCAGAAAAATTGCCAAGCAAACTAATGGCTGTAAAAGCATAAACTGCATGTGTGGGCATCAATTACTGAGCCTCATTTTAATGAGGTGTTGTACAAAGAGTTTTAATACATTTTGTAAATAAAACTGTAAAGAAAAAAAAAAAAAAAAGAACCCAGAAAGAGTTTGCTGATGTTTTCCCCAAGGAGAGGCACCGCTGCGGCCACAGAGCTCTGCTCTGACTTGGGATGCCCAACGTTTGTTCCTTTTGGGGAAAGGCTTCGGGACACACAGCTGAAATGAAGCACAATGCTTTGGGAAATAGGAATTTGGGGTTTGGCACCCTGAAAACAAATGGTGTTGCTCAGAGAGCTGTGGGTGCCCACCCCCTGAGGTGCCCAAGGCTGGGCTGGGTGGGCCCTGGGCAGCCTGAGCTGAGAGGCAGCAGGGTCACAGCAGGGGGGGCTGTAAGGTTCCTTCCAACACAAGCCATGCTGTCATTCTCTTGGTGTGATGCAGGCAGGGTGTGCGGGGCTGAACTGGGGCAGTGCCATGCCCACAGGGATGGCAGGGAGAGCCATGTACAGATGAGACAGAGACTGAGCCCATCAGCACATGGTGACAGCACCATGCAGGCACTGCTCAGCACCAAGAGGGGACAAAGCCTTGGGTTGGCAGGGCTGCTGCCCCCAGCCCATGCAGCCTTGTCCCCCAGCAGCAAACCAGCCAGGGCTCCGCACCGCGGTGGCCCCACAGTGCCCCGCTGAGGGCCGGTGCAGAGCATCGTGACTTGTTTTTTAAAAAAAATCCTTATTTGTGGTTATTAAAATAATAATAATAATTCACAGTTATTAAAATAAAATTACGGAATTTCCCTGGTGCTCATATTCATTGCCTCAGTCTGAAAAATTGATTCTATTTTGCAGGCAGCAAGACGTAAACAAGCTCTGGATAATGATAGCTCTATTCAATTAAACTAGGGGATTTAAGTACAGTGATAACATTTTCATGGGTATTGTAAATCTCAAAGCACTGTTAATTCAGACCATGCCCATCCATAACTGCTGCTGGGGACAAAATTGCCTGTAGCTGCTGTTGTCCACACCCAGCCCTGTGGTCTGGGCAGGCTGTGCAAGGGCCTCACCACCTCCAGTGAAAAACCCCTCACATCTAATATAAAATTTTACTCTTTTAGTTTAAAACTGTTTCCTCCTTGTCCTATCATTACCTGACCACGTAAAAAGTCAGTCCCACCCCTGCCTATAAGCTCAAGTACTGGAAGTCCACAATCAGGTCCCCCCAGAGCCCTCTCTTCTCCAAGCTGAACAAGCCCAGCTCCCTCAGCCTGCCTTCACTGGAGAAGTGCTCCAGTCCTATGAGCAGCTTCATGGCCTCCTCTGCATCTTTCTTGTGCTGCAGACAGCAGAGCAGATGTGGACAATCTTCTCCCTGCCCACTGCCACCCCTCTGTTCATGCAGCCCAGGACACTGTTGGCCTTCTGGGCTGCAAGTGCACATTGCTGGCTCATGCCCAGCTTTCCTCCACAGGGCTGCTGTCAAGGAGTTCTTCTCCCTGTCTGTACACATATATGAGATGGCCCTGACTCAAGAGCAACACCTTGTTGAGGCTCATTAGGCTTACCTGATCCTGCCTTTCATGTTTGCCCACGTCCCTCTGGATGGCATCCCTTCCTTCTGTCACATCAGCTGCACCACTCACCTGGGTGTCATCAGCAGTGCTGAGGGTGCACTTGATCCCACTTTCCACGTCACTGATAAAGATGTTGAAGAGCACTGGTCCCAGTACAGACCCTGGGGGCAACACCTGTCACCAACCTCCACCTGGACGTAGAGCCACTGATCACAACCCTCTGGCTGTGACTTTCCAAGTGCTTCCTCACCCACCAAAACCCAAGAGGCTGAGGCTCTGCTCCACAGCCAGAGCTGTAAGAAGAGACCTGGAGGAGCAATGGGCTCGGGCAGTTTGCTGCTGCCAGCTGGGGTGGAGCTTTGAGCCTGCAGGCCGTGTTACAGTGCTGCAAGGCTGAATGGGGACTGCAGTGCTGAGCTTTGGCACCGGTGTGGCACTGGGGAGCACAGCTGCCATTGGGTTTGCTGCAGGTTCAGGCTGTGCTTTGCTTTAGTTTCCAGCAGTGTGAAAGCAGCAGTTGAACCCGGAGTTAAATGAGCAAAGGCTAAAGAGAAGAAGCTCTGAGAAAGGCCCATTAGGCACAAGGCATGGTGGGGCCCAGGGCTGCGGGCAGCACAGAGCTGGATCTCCATGGCAGGGGCTATAAAGCCTTTAAGCGCATAACATCTACGTTAGATAACGTCGAGCACACAAATAAAGCAACTGAGCCATCAGTGCACGTGGGGCAGATGCTCGATCTGCCATAAGCAGGGTTCTGAAGCGGAACCAAGGTGCGATTCCACGCACGGACCGCAGCTACAGGGCGAGCTGCAGCCGGCGCCCACCGCCCGCCCTGGGGTCCCAAAGAAGCGCTCGGGGCCGGGGGGGAGCCGCTCCTCCGCACAGACACTGAGCCCGAGAGGCTCCGCGGTTCTTCGGAGCAACACTGACATGCAGCGGCCAGCCGGGCTGGAAGCCTGCAGGCAGCAGGCAGGCAGCGCCGGGGGGTCTGAATTCCAGATAGACACTGAGAGGGCTAATCGCCAAAAACCTACCAAATTAACGTAAGGGCCGCGCTTTGAGCTGAGGCAAATAAATATAAATGGTATTTATTCAATATTCCCCTGCCCTTTGAACACGGGGAGTTGGCCATCTTCAGCCAAACAGCTCATTAGGAGCCAGCTGACGCTGGCAGCACCCAGCTGTGAGCAGCCCTGGCTGCTTTCAGACGAATTTCAGATGTCTCTTCCTCTGGCATCTATTGGCCACAGGGGTGAGCGGTGCAGCAGAAAGCACTACAGCTGCAGCAGGACTTGTAGAGAGCCACCGCATTGAGCACAGAATGCAGAATTCAGTGGCTGTGAAGTTTCTGATGTCATTTGTGTTTCCTCGTGAGCCTTTAATGTGAAAGGACACACGGAGCACCAAGCGTTGAACAGAACAAGGTGTGCTTCCCAGGCAAACCATCAGCATCCGTGTAGTGACAGAGGTGCATTTCCCACACCTGCCTGCGAGCAAAGGGCAGGGGCAGAG